AAGTGTGCTTGTGTGGATGCTAAGCGAGGACCACAGCTATGATTCCCCTTGTAAACAAAGCCTTCCAAAACAATATTCACACAATTGAATGAGGTACCAGAGGGCTGTCACAGCCATCTGTAGGTGAGAAAAGTAGAAAAAAAATAAGCTACATTCTCTGTTCAAGCTACATTTCATTCAGTTAAATCAGGTGCAAATCCTTTGGCTGTCCAAGGCTTTGGGACGTCCCGAAGTGAAAGGCACTAAACAAATGTAATCTGTTGTTGTTGTTGAAGAAAGCTTTTCACCAGGTACAAATGCACCAGTTTCATATTCTCTTTAGTGCTAATTTTGAACTGTGATCCACATGATCATGTTACGTTGCAGTTCAGATAAAGAAATGGTTCTATTATGTTTTTTTTTAAAAAATCATATGTAAGTGACGTGCTGGAGCTTACTATATGTATATATATATACACACACATAATAATCCTTACATTTCATATAATGTCTTATCAAGTGGTCAGGATGTCTCCAAGTGCTTCACAGGATTTTATTGCAACGTGTAGTGACTGTTTATTTGTAGAGAAGAGTAATAATAAAATCAAGAAGAGGTTAGGCGATGCCAAGCTTTGGGCTTTATTAAACTGTAGGGAAATTGGAAGAAAATCTTGGGAGAGGAAGAGAAGATTCAATGGGAGCAATTACAAGCACTGGACAGAGGAAATGTCTGGTAGAAAAGGAGGGCAGAAGGATCGCCTGGGAAAGTCACTGGGAAATCCTTCAACAGTCCATCATTTGTGGTGGGGGGGAGAATCAATTTTACGCTATGAACCAAGCTATTCATCTGAGATTGGCAAAAAAAAATCTGAACACTTAACAGAGGTGAGACCATCATGCCATCTGTCTGTGCTGATTTCAATCCTGTGGGAGTGAGAGGATTGTGTTAAGAGAGCAAGATGTCTCCCAATCAGCCTACTGCTCGTTTAAAGGTCTCATCAATTTCAGATTAATGTGCAGTTGCTTCCTTGTAACCCGAGAAAGCGCAGATGTACCAGCTAAATAAATTTGACTCCTTGCTAGATGGCTTCAAGTATTTTGATGCATACCTTTTAACAAAGTCATTGGGTTCGTCCAAATCCCGTTAATAACCTGATCTTCCCATATGTCGAATTTTTGGCCAGGCTACTGCTGTGAGGTTTATAAATATATTAAAATTAGCACACGAAGAAGATAGGTTGATGGATAGTTATCTAATTCGCCCAGCACAATCTCCGCAAAGCATATGCACTCCCAGCTGCCAGGAACAGCCTATGCAAAAGGGAAGGGCTTATAAGCCAGCACAAGTTATCTGACAGGAGCACAGTTAAGGAATACAACAAAGCAGTTTGCTATTTGGGTCTAATGTAATTACAGGTTCTGCGTCACCACCTGTTTTATCAATACTCTGATGGAAGATAATAATGAGGAATATTTGTCACTCTGGCAAACGAAAAGGATTTGGATGCGAGCATCAACTGTGTTTTTTCTCATTATATTTTCAGTGTGTGTGCCTCCAAACAGATCTTGGATTGGTACAGCTTTTTGACAAGTTGGTGATTACCGCATGTTCAATTTATAATCTCAATTACGGCACAAGTAGGATCACAAAAACTGTCCAACATCCCTGGGTGGGTGCGGTTTGTATGGGGGGAAGGGGTGGGGGGGTCATTGAAAGAAATTTAGTCGAATTTTCTATCCCAAAATTGTGGACTGTGCAGGCTGCACATTCCATTCCAATAAATATCCATGCGTAGGTGGAATGCATGCAATTCTCAGTTTGGTTTGAATACTCTTAAGCATGATGGTGGGTTTCCTGCATGTACCAGATACCCAGCTAACCCCAAAAAATGTGTGGACTGTGCGGATGCTTAAGTGAGGGCATGTCTAGCTCATTTGTAACGGTCCCCCTGCCTGCCCCAAGTCAAACAGTCTGCCGCCACTACCTGTCTGTGCTCACAGATGAAGAATGACCACTTGACAAGGTGCCCGAGGTGCCTGTGGAACTGCATGCCAGAATGTCAGTACTTTCAGGAAAGGACAAAAGAAAATAGGAACAAAAAATGTGAATTTAGAATTATCGTCTTTTAAAAAATCTTGAATTTATGGTTCAAAAAAAGTATATCATGTATGGAGATTAACATTAAATAGTTTAAAGATATTTAAGCCTGATTTTACTATTGTATTAATCCATAATAGTCAAACATATACATAGAATGTTTACATCACAGAAAGGCATTCAACTCATCACATCTGTGCTGGTGCTTTCATTCCCACTGATTTTTCCATTCACTAATCCCATTCCCCTGCTCTTTCTACTTATCCTAAAATATAATTTTCTCGCAAGTATGCAATTTCTTTCAGATGCTTCTATGGACTTCGCTTCGAACGACCATTTATAGGAAGACATTCCACATTCTGACAGCTTTGTGTTTCTAAAAAAAATCTCCAACCCTTTTCCCTTCAACCATCCCCTTTCCTTCATTATAGTTAATTGTAGTCCAAAGTCACTCAAAGTGTTAACAAGCTTTTATAGACTTAAGCACCAGATTTCCAAGAGACAAGTCTGGGATGTATCACATGAACATTCTCTCGAGACAAGATCATTAAATCCACATTTTTCAGCCTCAAATCACATCCCCAGTAACTTAATCAGTAGTGTTGTAACAGAAATTGACATAACAATCACTAATGAGCCCATTTCAAACCCAGTTATGTCCCATTAAGAAATTCTCCTTATTATTTTGTCCATTTTCATTGATCCACGTCTACTCCTATATCAATGTGTGAAAACAGCCTGGTTTAGATTTTTCTCTTTTCTCCCCTTTAGTTTTCTCACTCATTGTTCATACGTGAGCCTGGATAGTAAATGTCAGCAAAGTATTGAAAAGAATCCTTGCACTTGGTGTAGCATCTTTCACATCAGAGCAATGACTCAAGGTACTTTACAAGATTTACTGTAAAGTCTAGACTGTGCATTTTGTACGGAAACCCTCAGCCAATTTGCATATAGCAACATCCCAAAAACAGCCATGAAGTGAATGACTTATTTTGTTTGGATAATTGTTGACCAGGACACTGGGTGAAACTCCCTTCTCTTTTCAAATAATGTAATGTGATTTTTAATGTCCTCCTGAAAAGGGAGACAGGATCTTGGTTTAACATTTCACCACAAGGACGGCACTTCTGACAAATTTAGCACACCCCCAGCAATGCACTAGAGTGTCAGACTATATAGACTATGATTATTAGTACATTACATGTTTAGATTATGTGGCAACTGTCAATAAGTCTGACATTTTAATGTTTTTAAATTTCACATCAAACAGATGGACTCTAGCTCAGTCCTGTATATCCCTGTTTTCCCTGTGTTAATCATTGATGCATTTAGTCTGATCAATAATGTATTCCCATATCCTACTCAGTCCATTCCTCACTTGTCTTCAGAACATATGCATTCCTTCTAGGTAATGGAGACTGAACAAGAGTGGAATACCTGGTTTCAATTCTAATTGTCCGGATTAATCCCTTACCTTGGTTAGTAGAATTGAAACATCAAATAATTTTACCTACCAATGGCACCATGGCTGAGATCAAGTAACTCAGCACCCCTCTCTACTCCTTGGGGAAGCTAAGTAGGGTCTCCTCGGAGCTGGTTTGATTTGTATTGAAGAACAATAACTTTACATTTATATAGTGACTTTAAAAGTTCCAGAGAGTGGAGCCAGAATGACTGAAGGCTTGCCCACCGAAGGTGGAGCAGGACGGGCAGGAAACACGAAGCAGCCGATCGCTGCTGGGGTGCTAAGGCTATAGAGGCAGGGTGGGGTGAGGCAGTGGAAGGATCTGAATGTGAGGACAAGGATATTAAATTCAATCTGCTGGCAGATGGGGATTCTGTGGAACTGAGCAAGGATTGGGCAGGACAGGGGGGCAAGGTGTATGGAGCCTAGTGAAGGAGAGAACACAAGCTGCAGAGCTCTGGATGGTCAGCAGCTTGTGTAGAAAGGAGCTAGGGAGTCCTGCAAGCATAGCATTCGAATAGTCTAGCCTGGACAGAATGAAGGCATGAATGAGGATCTCGGCAGCCCAGGGTGAGAGATTATGGCTGAGGCGGGTGATGTTGGGAAGGTGAGGGAAAAGTGGATCTGGCAAATAAAGAACACAACAGCGTGTGCCCTTAAAACGTGCGTGTATAGATACGTTTCTGGCTTCTGCACCTTCTCTGATGGCTGGAGCTAGTCTGTATGGGTTGGGGGACACCAACCCACTTTCGTAGCCTATTCCACTGCAATGCTCAATGCTTACTGAGGAAAACACTGCAAAGTTTAGACTGCCACTTGGTTTGGCAGCTTTTCCAGACGCAGCAATAGAAACTACTTCTTTGGAAGGGTTTTGGTCTCTCTGGAGACAACATCACCTCATTGTTGCTGTCAGCATGCTTTCAGCAGGCAATGCCTTTCCTGATGGGAGGACAACTCTGTTAGCAGGCACTGTCCTATCAGAAGCATTAGTCTTCCTGGCATTTGTCTTACCACTATGTCCCACTGTTTGTAAAATGCTGGTTCCTAGTGAGGACTCAATCTCATTTCAAATCACATCACTGTGGCTCTTAGAGTGACTATGCTGCGTTTGGACAAAGTTCAGTGCATGCACATTCAGTGCTGGAGCCCATAATTATGCCTTGCAGCAAAATAATTTTAGCAAAGGCCAAAAGCTGTTTCTGAATGTCAGATGACTTTGTTTTGGGGCCATTTTCCAGCTTTACCTATAGTAAACTCCCGGTAGCTCATCACCCCAAGGGAAAAGGGTTCAGTGATGAGTTATTCGGAGTGGCAAGTTAGGCATAGGTCCTCCCAAGATACAAGGGGGCACTGTGATTGGTGTGGGAGCTTGGCGGAGGTTGGGCTCACATGCTCAAATGCATTGCAGAGGCCTCTGATCTATCGGAGGGCCATGCCATAGCTTCCCGCCCCGTCTCCTGCTTTTTCCTGTAACAGGATAGGGCGAGAGGCCTCTGCGATGCAAGATGCCATCTTAAAGGACAAGTTATCTGAAGTAAGTACTTTCAAGAATTTTTAGAATGTGACTAGTTACGTGTTAAGTGGAGTAACAAAGCGGAGTCCGTTAACATTTTGCAAGGAAAGCGGCCACGATATTGACAGCGAGTAAGCAACTGGTAGTAAGTGGTCATGACTAGTTAAGCCAGGGTCAAGCTGTCAGGAGTTTATTATTTTACTACAGAGCTGGTTACCTGCACATTGAGTGCGCAATCACGTTGCTACAACATGGAGTAACTGTACAGAATGTAATGGCTTCATTGCAGCTACAGAGGTTCCAACGTGGGTTCAATGTAAATGTCATCACATCACACCTATTGCTGCAGATGTAACACAATGATGCCACTAGGTTCTGTACATGCACAAGATCAATGCTGGAAAATAAATTGAATTATTCTAAGGTTTTGTTTTATGGGGGTTGGGGGGGGGGAGAGAGTGTCTGACTTGATTTTTTTCACCTTTCTTAATGGGTGTCGTTCACCTGAGTAGCTATTCATTTGTGTATCTTGACAGTGAATGTCGATAGTCTATTCACAGTTAGAGCAATCTAAATGCTCTTTTAAATACTAGTTGCACTCTTGCGTTCTGAATTAATGTACTTATTATCATTCATCTGCTCGGCAAACAGCTCAATAATCAGTCTCATTGTCAAAGGACAGCCTTGGGATATTAAACAGTTTCACTGTTTCACCTGAAAGATGGGAAATGCCTCCTTATATCACAAGCTGTTTCTACAGTAGTGTGTGGTCTTACTTCAAAGGAAGTCAGAAAAGCTGCAACAATTGTTTGAAGGCTCAAACTAGGAGACTTCCTCCTGGAGTCTTTGTGGTTCTTATGATCCCCACTGAAATAAATCATTCTGTCATCTTCTATTTATCGGTGTTTCCTGCTGTAAATCTGATACTTTTGCTGTTAATCTGCAAAAGATCAAAATCCTGATCATACCCTCTGAATCCACCACTTTTATATAAAATAATAATGATAATCCTTATATTTGATATGCACCGTTTATAATTCACGGACAACTTGGAGTGCAAAATGTAGTGCCTGTGTATTTTTGTAGGCGGACCACGCAGCCATGAACTTGGCCAAGACACCAAGGGAAACTTTTCTCTTTTACAATAGTTCCTGGGATGTTTAACATCCACCTGATCAGGCAGACAAGATTTTGGTTTAACGTTTCATCCGAAGAACGTTACCTCTAACAATGCAGCACACTCTCAGCACTGCACTGGAGTCTCAGCCTATCCTATAAGTGAAAGTGCCAATGTAGGGGTGCTTGAATCTACCACCTTCTGACTCAGAAGTGAGAGTTGAGCCAGACTGACACACAATGGGCAAGAGTGCAATTCCTTTGCTGAACCTGTTATGGGGCTCAAGGGTATTTATGTATTTAGAATATTTCCTTTGAACATAAGAGCAGGCGAGCAGAGCATATGATAGGGTAGGGTTTATCTGATAACTTCTGCTGAAAGCTGAAAGTAAAACTCAGTTTTGACATCCTTACATCACACACTGGGAACATCTATCCTACCAAATCATTCTAAAATGCTGTGGGCTTCCATCTTAAGAGGAAATAGATGAAAGCTCATACTGAGCTTTCACAGAAAACCACATTTATCATGCTCTGGAAAGGGCTTTGTTAAATCTGTGTGCTATGAAAAATTCTCAAGTCTTATTGAGAACTATTCACGTTGGAAGAGTTCAATCATTCTGACTCCTCGCCCTTCCCCCCACATCCACTATGAGTCAGGGGAGGCTTTATTCTACAGAAAACCTCAGCCATAGATCATGACTGTCTGTGCAGGGAGGTCAATGTGACCATTCCGGCAGCTATTACAATTTGAACAATTCAAAGGCAAGACGCCAAAGTCACCATGGGCCTACATTTCTCTACCAAAATCTTTAGTTGTGACCTGAACACAAGTCCACAGCTGGAGAGGTCAGCATAAACTCATACACCCACAATACGTTTGTATTGCAGAACTGCTTCAGAGAGTGAGTCTGCAATACTGTCCTATCGTTGCGTTCTGACTGCTGCTCAGTTTATATTACAACCAAAAAATGTTTTCAAAGTTGTGTTTAGTAATGGCACACGTGTAGGGTGTAAAAACAGTAATTGCAAAACTACTCAGTTCACCAGCAGTCAGATAAGACGTCACCCTTTGTTTCTCAACAGTATTCCCGATCCTGTTCACATCGCTGGGTTGGCGATGATTCCTGAAGCCCCTGCAAAAACAGTTCCTTTGGTGGTTCCACCAGCTCTGGAAACCTCATTGGCAACAATGGCAGAGATTTGAAATAAGGTACAGTTTAATCTCATTTCACCATATTCAACAGGATAATTGTTGCGCCACACCACATCATCGAAATATCTCAAAGCATAGGATATACTGCAAAGTGGTGTGAATGTGTGTAGTTTGTTAGGGAATGTGGCAGCCAATTTTTGCACAACCATAAATCCTCAAATAAACAACAAAAACAAAATTACATTTGTACAGTGCCTTTCCTGTAGCTCAGTGGTTAGAGTGCTTGCCTTGCAAGCGAGAGACCTGGGTTTGATTCCCGGCAGGGTGAAACCCTGGGCAACTTTCCTTACTCCACACGCCTGATAATAATCCCTCAAGAAAAAAACAATCCCTCAAGAAAAAAACAATAATAATTTGGTCCCCCAATCCACGACTGCTTGTGGGACACTGCTGTGCGCAATTGGCTGCCACGTTTCGCCCGCAAATATACAGTCAATTCACTTTACAGTACATTCTGTGAAGTACTTTGAGACGTCTAGAAAACGTAAAAAGCGCTATATCAAATGCAAAGATTATTATTATATTCACATCGGGAGGATGTCCCAAGGCACTGGACATTTTCCACCCAAACTAGGGTTTGGGATTGGGAAGGGTGGAGGGCGGGCAATGAGGGTGATCGAAGGCACGGTCGAACAGGACAGTCTTGAGATGGGTCTTGAAGGAGGCAAGGGAGGGGGCGGACGAGGTGGGTGACGTGAAGCAGACCGGAGCCCGCTGGGAATAAAGACCTTCTCGACTTTTCCCTATTCTTAAATCACGTAATTATTATATATGCTCATGCAGTTCTGCTCACCAGTCTTGAATTGCTGGAAAAGAGCAGGTCGGGAGTTGAACTTGAAATCAAACCATATAGGACTAGGTTTTTCCTTGGCACGATTCTCGGTCAGTGTTGAACTAAGTCTATTTAAGGTGCGGTAGTAATGGGCAAGCGATAATTGCTCTCAGCGTCCCTGGGCAAAGAAGAGGACGTGAAGAAATCAGCTGTGGTTCTTGACTGATTTGATTGTGATAAGGCACCATATCAAATGCAAGGTTTATTATAAGGAATCATTCTGAATGTAATATGTTTAATTAAATATTTGCCTTAGTTTTGATATATGCTTGCTTGAAGATATGAGCAGGTTCAAACAGCTGATTCCTGTCTTATTACTTCAATCCACGACTGTTTGTGGGATACTGCTGTGCATAATTGGCTGCCGCATTTGGCCCACAAATATACAGTCAATTCACTTTACAGTATATTCTTTGAAGCACTTTGAGACATCTAGAAGACGTGATAAGGCGCTATATCAAATGCAAGGATTATTATTATTATGATTATTATTATTATTAATTGCTAGTCAGAAAATCCTGTTAACCAAAATTTGGATGGATAGGATAAGGCTTGATTATGATACCCCTCATGGAAAAATAGTCCAACATTATTCCACTGTCTGGGCTCATTCATGAAGACTGTCCATCTGCGACCAGGGCTCCCTCTGCCTCCTCGTTTTCCTTGACCTCTCTGCTGCTTCCGACACTGTCGACTACTCTATCATCATCCACCGCCTCGCCTCTCACCTCAAGCTCCACTGCGCTGTCCTTGATTGGTTCAGATTGTACCTCTCACACCGCCTGCACTTCATCTCCTCAAACGGTTTCTCCTCTAGCCTCAGGACCGTGACTTCCACATGTATGCGTACGACACACAACTCTACCTCTCTGCCTCCACCCTGGACTCCAGGACCACTGCTGTGCTGACAGAATGTCTGTCAGACATTAAGTCCTGGATGAGAGTTAACTTTCTTCAGTTGAACGTCAACAAGACCGAGGCTCTCCTGATTGGCTCCCATCAGCGCCTCCTCACCTCAGGCGCTGACAGCATCATCATCCACGGTTGCACACCCCACCTTGCTAAGCCAGTCCGGATTCTTAGGGTCTTGTTTGACCCTCCACTATCCTATCTACCCCACATCTGCACCACTATGCTATGCTTTCCCCCACCTCCGCAAAGGTGCCAGGCTCCGAAACTGTCTCACACCGCAGGCAACCGAAACCCTCATACACGCCTTCATTACATTGAGGCTTGACTATTCAAACTCACTGCTTGTCGGCTTCCCCAACTCTCCCTCCACAGGCTGCGGATCATCCAGAACTTTGGAGCCCGTCCTCTCCCGCACATAGCTCCGTGACCCTATCACCCCCATCCTTGCCCAACTCCACTGGCTTTTCATCACAGAAAGGATACAGTTCAAGATCCTGGTCCTCACCTTCAAAGACATCCACGGTCTTGCTCCCCCCTACCTCTCCGATCTCCTAACCCCCTACCACCCTGTTCGCTCCCTCCGTTCAGCAGGCTCCGGTCTGCTTCACATCCCCCGCCATGCTCTCCCCACTATTGGCGGGTGGGCCTTCCGCCACTCTGCACCCACCCTCTGGAACTCCACCCCGCAGTACCTCCGTCTCGTCCCCTCCCTTGCCACCTCAAGACCCTCCTCTTCAACCATGCTTTCGATCTCCCTGCTTCCCCCCGGCCCTCCACCCTCCCCCATCCCAACCCTCAGCTTGGGTCCGTAACTCTGTCCCAACGCCTTGTGACTTCCTCCCAACGTGAAAGGTGCTATACAAATTAAATTTTGTTGTTGTTGTTGTACGATGTGGATATTGGTCAAAATGAATCAGTGGCTTCAGGACTGGAAGGAGAAAATCTTATTAGAAGATGAAAAAAACACCACTGATTTTACAAAAATCAAACTAGTTTTGATAAGTAAATTCAATTGGAAATGATCTTCTGAGGCTCTGATCAAGAAAAAAAAGTTCCTTCTGTTGATTTGTTATTGATTTTGTTATTCTACAGGTTTATTGACCCTAACATCTTGCTTGTCAGCAACAAGTGGTTTATAATGATAATGCTTGCATTGGATATCGCAGCTTCACGGGATAATAATAATAATAATCCTTGCATTTGGTATAGCGCTTTTCACGTCTTCTCGACGTCTCAAAGCGCTTCACAGAATAGACTGTAAAGTGAATTGACTGTATATTTGTGGGCGAAACGCGGCAGCCAATTGCACACAGCAGGGTCCCACAAACAGTCTTGGATTGAAAATGACCAATTTATTATTGCTTTGTTTTGGAGGGATTATTATTAGGCGTGTGGAGTAAGGAAATTTGCCCAAGGTTTCGCCCTCTGCCTGGAATTGAACCCAGGTGTCTCGCTTGCAAGGCGAGTGCTCTAACCACTGAGCTACAGGACTCCAGAATATACTGTAAAGGGGTTTGACTGCACTTTGTGGGCGAACGTAGCTGCCAATTTGCACATAGCATTGCCCTGGACTAAGTGACCAATTTTATCTGGACGATTATTCGTCAGGACATCGAGAGAAACTTCCTTTCTCTTTTCGAACAGTACCATGGGATCTTTAACGTCCACCTGAACAGGTTCCACGTCCTGATGTTCGGGGCTTGAACTCACAACATTCTGACTTAGAGGCACGGATAGACACACAGATGGAGAGAAACAGTTCAATGTCCTCCTGGCCTCAATCACCAAACCTAGGAACTATAAATTATTCTGTCAGGCACTATTAGGAGTCTAAAACATATAGAACCTCAAATACCACATGTGGAACAGAGTCTTGAGATCAAGGGTCCAAGTGATTGTTTTCCATTCTCTTCTGAATATTTAACATTTTTTAAACCTGAAAATACATCACTTGGTATGGTGGCTCTGAGATTTTTGCTGGGTTTTCATCAGTTTTCAGTCATATCATGAACTCTGCACACATCACACACGAGATCCCACCCATACTCAAATCTGATCATATCCCAAACCAATCTGATGTATCAGTGCTTCAGACAGAACTAGAGTTTCATTTGCAAGTCATACACACAGAAATGTTTCATTTGCAAGTCATATTCATAGAAATTGCACACACACATGAAAGATAAAGGCTTGAGCAAGCATGGGATAGGCAGGGCAGTGGGATTGATTGATTGCTTGCTTTGAGAGCCAGTGGAGACTCAATGGGCACTGTAAATTTATATGATTCTATAAAATTATTCCTATACTGGGGATGAGAGTTATGGAGAAAAGACCTTTTTTTTAACAGCTTTCATTATACAATCCCAGTTCAAGAGCTAACCTGCAAAAAACACATCTTTCATAATAAAATCTGATCAAATTGTCGATAACCTTCAAAGCAAGAGGAACTATTCCAGGAATTCAGTTAAGGAGAAAAGTAGATTGCATTTTATATTAGGAAAAGCACAGGCAAACTTCCATAAATAAATGCCTGTCTGAATCTGATAACAATACTACATTCTGCACATCATATTCTCTGTGGTTACAGTAACAGAACTGTTGGTGCTGAAACATCAGCTATGGTTAAAGATGAATGATCTCATCAAGAATAAAAAGCTATACTAGTAAGAGGGTTGCGCGGGGTGGGAGCGTGGAGGCAAAAGAGAGAGAAATCAAGAATATTGTGCTCAGGATTCAGATGCATCACTGGAACAAAGCATTTTACTGAACTCAAGTATATTGTTCATTATGTTTGTGAAACATTTATTAATAGAAATAAAACTAAGCCCTCCGAGACACTAACTCACATGAAGAGCTCTATAGAAATGCAAATTGTTATAGTATAATTCCTGAAAGAACTACAATTTCCAGCACAATTACAAGGGAAATTAACTGGGGGCAACAAAATACACAGTCTCTCCACTTTACTGTAAAGTGTCCTCTCAATGTGAAAAGGACCACATCAAATGTAAGGATTATTATATTCATTATATTCATCATACTTCAATGAAAGAAAAAGGAGTGGAACCTGTTCAGGAGAGAAGTAAAAGTAAGAAAATTGGTAAAGGGTAAGAATATAGGCATTATTGTCCACTGCCAGTGAACTACAGTATTTGGCCTAGAACCTTTCCAACATTCTTGTAAACATTCAGGATTTACTCTAAAGTGCAGAGAGTGTGTATTTTATTTCTAACGGGACAGAGTGGTAAAAGCA